ACATGTCATGCTTGTTCGTGTATATTATAATTGCTGAAGGAAGTTGCAACGCTTTTAGACATTTTTTATCCTGCAGTCCCATTTGTTAAGCAAATTCGTTAAATGACACAGTTCCTTAATCAGATCAGATTGTGTTGCTATACCTCCAAAATTATGTTTGGTTACAGGTGATCTGCGCTGATATGATAACACGGTAAAGCAGCTACTTTTCTGTGGATTTTAATACTTACATAAGACAATTTGAGAGAAACAACTAATAACATTTGAAGGAATGTCAATTATCTGCTTACAATTTAAATAACTGTTTATATATATATTTATAGTTTATATTTATAGTTTATATTAATCGTTTGACAGAACTAATATATATATATATATATATATATATATATATTTAATATTTATATTTGTTTTTTTAAGGAGAGAAAACTACTTTTTTCAACAACTTTTATCAATATTTCTTAAGGCTCTAGCTATGTAATTTTTATTATTAAACTCTTGGCTTAAATAGCTGCAAATGATTGTCTAATGATGGTGATGACGTGAGATTTATGATTGACCGGTCGTAGAGATGGTCCCACTGGAGCGGCGTAGGATTAACTGCCTCTCACAACATAGTAATGGTGATAGAGCTGGCTGTGATCTCAGAAACTCTCCATTTACTGGAATACATCTTCCAATCTTTCAGTTAGAGGCCCAGATCCTTAACCACTAAACTACCACTGCAGTCTGTCAGATTCTCCACTTGATTCTAGGCATATGTCTCTTCTCCCCATGTCAACGAAACGTCTTCATATGCAAAGTTTTTCGATTACATTCTGATTGAGCATCACACTTTCATACACATTTCACACACACACTTGAGTTTGTGTATATGTGTGTGTGTCTCTAGAGGATTGTATCTCAGTAGGAGTTTAATTGTATGATGTCAAGTCAGCTTCATTGGTCCAGGAGGACTGCGGTCATTCTCAACAATAAGAACATCTGCTCAAAGCGGTTGTTGTCTTGCTCTGTGATTGGGTCATTATGTCAAACTATCGAACATTTTAATCCATCCTGACATTATTTCCCTTCTTCTTCTAGAAAGTTCAGGATATATCACGCCATTCTGTCAGCAGATCTGTACCCATCAGTGTTTAATTTATGTTAATGAACATTCAACAATATGCGGATGGACGTTTATTGTGCATCTGGTATCTTGTGTGGGGTGGGGGGGGCTCACCATTTTATCTTTGAGGGTTTCATCCCTGAAGTGATAATGGACATGATTTGCACAAAACAAACTTTTACTGCTAAGAACATAATTGAGCGCTTTCATAAAAGATCTTTTGTGCGCATCTGAGTCTGTTTGACATCAAAGTTCAGTTTGTTTGGTTGGAGTAGAAGTAGTTTTCTAAACTTAAATGCACATCAGTGAACCACACATGGTCTTTATCTAATAACCTGTAATAGCAAGATATATTTTGGTATTATGTGAAAGTGAAAATAAAATGAACACAGAGTGATTTTTCTTTCACAAAATTTGTTTGCATACAAGCCAAAATTCTTTCACCACCCTGAGATGAATCCCAAACCTGACAGAAACTACGTGATTCATACATGACATGTATTTTTTACTCTGTTTATGGCAATGCAAGCATCATGAATCAGGCAATAGAGATATGTTTTCATTTTTTACCCATATTATCTCAACAGAAACAGGAAGACTGCTAATCCTGCACAACACAAAATGAGTCATTTACATAAAGTAAATGCTGACCCACTAGTAGACTTTTTTTAAGTAAAAATTAGTTTTTAGTGAATCAAATACATACATCAAAACCAGTGTAATCTGCTTCACGATCAAATGACTCTTGAGAACCTTTTCATTCAAACAACATTTAATCACTCAAAAAGACTTCATACACTTTCATGGGGGTTTGTGACTGAAGTGTCCATGAGTTTAGAATTTTGTAATAATTTTACACATATAATAACAGTTATAGTTTTGCACAAGAAATTATTTGCAATTTAAAGATTACATCAGTTGATATTTACAGAGCAGTTTTGGATTGTGCTGATTTAATGTATGTTAAAGAAAGGTTAACACAAATATTTTTAGAACGTACCAAATTAGAAGAGTCCCTGTATAACTAACAGCATTAGATGAGAGAGGATTTCCTTCTTACGTAAGCAAAATGGACACTATAATCAAAATATGCCTAAATGAATTGGAATCAAATTGAGAGCTTGTGAATCAGAATCTAATTAAACATTTGACACAGATACGCTGCTGTCTTCTACTCCTGAGTGCTAGCAGTGGTAGTCATGGTGATGATGCAAACGTAATGCATTTCGGACCTAGTTAAAAACCCACAGTGAAAAGTGACTGTGGGTCACTTTTCACATTACAAAAAAAAAACACATTACATTGTGAGAAGTTTTTAAATGAGATGATGATGTTTTTTCTTGTGTCAGAACAGGTCAACAACAGGTTAAAACTGTTTGTGGAGAGGGAAAGTTTAAAAAAAGAATAGCCCCTAATGTTTCAGAAAAACCAGAATAATGTAAATGAAGTGTAGTTAATGTGAAACACACACGCTTTCTTGTGTTGTGCTGTGTTTGTGTTGCTATTATGTGTGTGTGGTCAGTCTGATTAAAAAGGTCGTTTTTCTCCGGCTGTCAGCGGAAAGAATGGAAAATGTCAAAATAAGTATGAGTGGAATAGATGCTACCGTTAGCTCAGACCACACACATACACAACTTCTTCAACACGCAATGTCATACAATTCAAACAGAAATAAATTAGGCCTCATACAGCGTGTTCCCTTACTATAAATATTGTTTCAGAGCAACACATGTGTATGTGTGAGTCTACACACATGTACATATGAGGGTGTGAGTGTATCTGTCCTCGGTGACAACTGACAAACTAATCACACGCACGTATTCATTATGCAGCAGCGTTTATCTGTTCACAATCTCTTGTTTTACAAGCATGAAGAAATGTACACACATGCAGACACACGTTTGAGGGAAGCAATTTTAGCTTGATGGAGCATTTGACCAATCAGGTTGTGGGTGGTCTAAAGAAAGACTATTCTCTCTCCCTCTCTCACTTTAACTTGTGTCCTCTAGTGTGTTTTGGTAACACTTTACAGTAAGGTTTAGTTCGATCGTATTCATGCATTTGGTACATTATTGTTCAAAAGTGTAAGGTTTTTGAAAGAAGTACAATATAAACAGTACTGTAAAAAGTAACAGTAATATTGTGAAATGTTATTACAATATAAAATAACTGTTCTATTTTAATATATTTTCAAATGTAATTTATTGTGATGACAAAGCAGAATTTTCAGCATCATTACTCCAGTCTTCAGTGTCACATGATCCTTCAGAAATCATTCTAATGTGCTGATTTGGTACTTAAGAAACATTTTTTAATATTATTAATGTTGAAAATGCTTAATATTGTTGTGGAAACCATTTTACATGATGTTGTTTTTGTGTTACAATTATATAATGAATAAAAAGTTAAAAAGAACAGCATTTATTTAAAATAGAAATCTTTTGTAACATTATAAATGTCTTTACTGTACCACTTGATCAATGTAATGAATCCTTGCTGAATAAAAGTATTATTTTCTTACAAAAATGTCTAACTGAACTAGCAGTCAGATATATGTATATTTTTATGTATTGTTAATTTTTAGTTTGTGATAACTAATGCATTAACTAATGTGAACAAACTGCACTTTTTTCTAGTGTTACCTTATAAATATTCCCACTGTACATCTCTTGTGATACTGCAGTAAGACTGTGTGTGTGTGTGTGTGTGTGTGTGTGTGTGTGTAAAAGAGAGACAGATGAGACGTCTCGCACTAGAGTCGAGTTACAAGGTCTAGACTGCACAGAGCTGTTTCTCACACACACACACGTCTTGCTAAATGAGGACATACCGTATTGACCTCTATTGTTTATATTTAAAGCTAATTATAATTACTGCAGTCTTACCCAAACCGTACGTCTAAACGAAAACATTTGCATGTTTAATATTAGAAACTCATTATTTGCTTTATTTATAAATCCCTTTTCATTTTGATGGCAACTCGGATGTCCCCAAAGGCAGGTTTTGTGAGATTTGGCTAACTTCTATGGTCCGTTTGTTCCCTAAAGTACATGTAATTAAACCTGCATACTCTCTTTCTTTTGTTACTTATCATAATTGTAAATAAGCAGATCATTGTAAGCTTGGAGAAATGTTTTCAATGCGCTCTCTCTCACACACACACACAGACTCTGAGCCAGAACATCATGTCCAAAGGCTGGAACATCCTCTGGCAGGAAGACAGGCCTACAGTGTCTGATTTCAAACACAAAGTGGATTAAAAAACAAAGTGTGACACAGCAAGCCGTTTACAGATCTAAAAGCGTCATCTTACTGGTTAAAACACGCATACTCGCATTCACACTTACGTGTCAATGTTTTACATGGATGAATGTAATACACATGACACCCAATGCACTCTGGGGCTGAACTTTGTGATTTAATGGCTTCTCTAATCACATAACTAACAAGAGTTTTACCCAGACACAGCTGCATGACCCCGCTAACCTTGCTCTGTGTGTGTGTGTGTGTGTACGTGTGTGTGTGAATTCAGACTCCTTTCTCTTCAACAATTCTGCAATCAAGCTATGAAGATGACAATGGCAGTCTAGGTCTTGTAATGTGATTCTACTGTGAAGAACAGCAGGGTCATGTTCTCTGTCTTACAGACACAGATAATGTGCTACTTGCAACTGACCCAGAGTTACTCTTCTCTCAACCTTTTCATTCACTGTGTATAAACTAGGCTTGCCGCGATAGACGGTGATACCGGTGTTAAGCCGCAACACCGGTTACGTCACTTGCCCACCGCGTCACCGACCCCCACCGTCGTTTTGATTTTTTATAGAAATAAAAATCATTTAGTTCAGTAAAAGAACAGACACTACAATTAAAAACTGAACGCGGATGCTCAATGCAGTTGAACGACAGTTGCATCACAGATCAGATTTCATTTCTCCAGTGAGAAGAGTGAGTCGAGCTGACTGACAAGAAGAGTGGGGTGAGACAGACAAGACGATCGCGGATGATTTAGTTTCGAAACTAGATGCAAAAGCGCCTGTTTGGCAATATTTTGGATTTTGAAAAGCCTGTTGACTTTTGCCGTTTATCTAAGGTGATTTTAGATTTTTTTTTTAAACATTTGTTTCTTATTTAATTGGTTCCACATTGTTTGCTGATTTTTACTTTATTTAAACTGTGTCATTTATTTATTTTATTTGACATTCGTTTTGCTAATAAACGTGTTTCTTATTTATTTGGTTATATATTATACATGTTTACTTAGCCTATTTCCAGTTTGTATACCTATTAAACTTTATGTAAGTTATTTGTTATTTTATATTAGGCGGCTTGCCCTATAGCATGGTGTATTTTTATTTGTTTTGTTAATAAAATTTCTATGTTTTATACCGTATATAGGCTAAAGTGAGTTTGACGTTGTATTTTGTTGTTGCATTCAAGCAATTGACGCCAAACTGCCGTTAATTCAAAAGTGAAAGTAAAATGCGCACGGCGCTTTTAAGCTATTTAAAAGCGAAGGAAAGCGAGGAAAAGAGGGAAAATTCAAACGAACTAAAAACGAACAATTGCTTTACTCCGAATTGCCGCTATTTTAAAGTGAAAGTAAAATGGGCACACCGCTTTTACAAGCTATTTAAAAGCGAAGGAAAGCGAGGAAAAGAGGGAATGCCCCGCCCCCGCGGTGATACCGGTATTACCGGTGTTGTCACACGCCGATTAACCGGTGGGAAAATTTCCTCACCGACACAACCCTAGTATAAACATACATGGGAACTCCAGACTGTCCGGAAGTATCCTGACCTGATAGTTATCCCTGAATTTAAGATGTATGGCGAGTGTGTGTCCACCGTCTGCCTGAACAAGCTCTTATTGCAATCTCAAAGAGTCACAGTTACAATAGGAGTGTTTTATATGCATACAAAGAATAAAGAACTGAAATGAAGAAAAATAAGCAAAGAAAGGAAGAAATGGAAGGGAAAAATGAAGGAAAACATGAAGAAGCAAAGGAAGAGAAAGTTCGTACTCTTTCAACCTCATCAATTTAGTAAGAATCTCTGTGCTTCCTCTGTGTGTGTGTTTAAGGCTTGCAGCGCTATTACTCTGTTCATATGCGAGATAATGATAAGAAAGCTATTTCCTTTCTAAATAATTTATTAAGTTTATGGGATTTTGTGTGTGTTTGTGTGCTGGATCATCCCATTGGAATGCCTTACTGCTGTAAATCCACAGGGTTTCTCAACACACACACATTATGCTCATTATGTTCAGAGTGTTGTCTTTCAGCAGAGGTGTGTGTGTGTGTGTAGTTTTAGTTTACATGGTGACATTTATTTTATGAAGAAGTGGATTAGTTTCATTGATCATGTCTTGGCTCAAACTCAAGAGTTGAAATGTAAAATGCTTTGAAACAGCACCATGAATTAATTTTATTCTTCTGCACTGTACATTAAAAAAAAACGTATTCCTTCATCTTCACAGAGCAGATGGAGGGATGAACACACAAGAGAGCTGGAGAGAGTCATTCATCGTACCAAACGTTCAGGTAAATAAAAATTATCTTTTATGTGTGTTGGTATTCATGAAATTTAGAGCTTATATTAAGACTGTGTGTGTGTGTGTGTGTGTGTGTATACGTGAGTATAAAGTCTGTGAGATTGCCAGCGATTTCTCTTTCATGTGGTTTAGAGTTCAGAACGAGATGCATTTCCTTCATTTGATCATGCTACCTCTCACCCTCTCTCCCCCTCTCATTCATTCCTTCCATCTTACTCATTATTGGGGTATGCTGTGCGCACCAGTAGTTTATACATGAAATCCCTCTCCTTTTTCCATTCTAGTAGCTTCTAACAAACTGATATTGCACCTCTCTCACTCTTTTTCAATGTCGAACTCTAGCTTTGGTTACCTACTCCTCTTTCCATAGCCGTGATTGGCTCCAGTTGGCAGCAGTTTGATTGGCAGGTGGTTTTGGCTTTGATTATGGCTGTGCAGTCACTGGCTCTGATCGGGAGTTCTACTGTTTCAGCTTTTGCACCTGTGTGCATCATGTGCCAAAATAAATACCGATACAACACAGATAATTTGCACACATACTACACACACATGCCATCTCAAACGAGGCTGAAGCAGATGTCTGGAGAGCAAGGTTACTGATGATGATACATATACAGTAGATGATATAGTGCGGTTTAAAGTTAACATGAGATGTACAGTACTTATTTAAATGTGTCTGTGGATCAGTAAGAAATTATATGATATCCTTAAAGGGTTACTCCACCCCAAAATATTTTGGATGAAAACCGGGAGGCTTGTGACTGTCCCATTGACTGACAAGTAAATAACACTGTCAAGGCCCAGAAAAGTATGAAAGACATCGTCAAAATAGTCCATCTGCCATCAGTGGTTCAATCTGAATTTCATAAAGTGACGAGAATACTTTTTGTACGCAAAGAAATCAAAAATAACGACTTTATTCAACAATTTGTCTCCTCCGTGTCACCGTAGCGCCATTTTGGAGAGTATCCACTGAACGCAAGCTGCGTATACTGTTCTACTTGTCTGTGTCAGCCGCACCACACGGACTATATACTCCACACGGAGTACTGGAAAAAGTGGTATCGGTGCATCCCTAATTATAATTATTAGCCAACTTAAAAGATATGGATTTTGGTGAAGGACGTCAAAACTACTGAGTGTTTTCACTGAAATCTCACCTTTTTCTGAGATTAATGAGAATATGAGGTCTACAGAAAATAGAGAAGTCCTGAGAGCAGTTTGTAATGTTTTACCCCAGTAAATTGTCATGAACCGTCCCATTTCAGCACTAGACAGTTGTGCAATATTATATTGTGGTAATGTGACCGCGTGTGAACGGTCAAATGCGCTTCTTTTTTTAAAAATGCCCATCTTGGCAAATTATCAATTTAAACACAAAAGGAAATTATTGTGGTTCAACTGGTATTGAGAATAACAAACTTTACCCTTGCTGTAAGCGCATCTTTTTAAGTCATGTAAGCACATTTACATTAGTAAAATGATTTATTAAGTAGTGAATGAGACCCAGTGTTTCTCAGATTATTGTTGTGTCTGTGTGTGCGAGTCTTGTGCATTAAATTGTACATTAAATTCTCTTACACACACTCAGGTGTGCTGCAGATGCACTTGGATGGAAACAATGTCTGTAATATGCTGAGGTGTAAATCTCTGTATATTTGACAGCAGTGTATGGATGTTAATAAATCCCTAACATACTGTTATGTAGACATATAGGATATTGCATACAGCTCAATGTGTGTGTTTGAAACTATAGACCTCACTCATCACTGTGAGCTCATTTTAACAGCGTCCACACACATAAGTCAAATTGTAGTTGATTTTTATGGCTTAGTTGTACTTCTGTTGAACTAAATTTCCATGAAATGTTGACAACAGATTTTAATTGATTAGATCTGAGTATAAAATCCAAGCATCAGCCTGTGTTAGGTGAGTATTATTGCAAGTTATTCCATCTAGTGTCAATTTAATTGCATGATTTAATAAGGAAGCCATTTTTAATTTCTTCTTGTGATCAAAAGTCATACTGTCATCTTCCCAATTCTCAGATTCATGGGTCAGAGCACTTGCACATGGACATACACAAACTCGCTCACTTTGTGGCCTCCTGAACATGAACTTTGTGAATGTACAGCTGGTGTTCGGTGTGTTTGTGTGTGCAGCTGCATGTTTGGTGTGAAATATGGTTCCAATATTGTCTGTCTTTGATGCTAATTTGTTCCATTCATTAAAGACTTTTACCACTCTTTCTTTTTTCTCTCATTTAAAACAAACACAGACATATCCAATGAATGGTAACCCTCCCTCAAAATTCTTTTGACGAACATGCATGTACACAAACGTGTGTGTGCGCACATGCAGACCAATTTTTATATTTGTTTTATTTATATTTCAACATTTAAAAACTTATGCTTGTCATATAATTATTTTAGTTGCTTTTGTAAAATATCTCAGTTGCAGCTACATTCATGTGTAAAACTGGAGTCAAAAGTTTCAAATACAATATAAATGGTACCTTTTCCTGATGCTTCTCTTGATGTAAGCTCTCTGAGGCTCACGGTCACCACCAGAGGGAGGTCATTAACTCTGTTGATAAATGGTTTGACAATTTCACAAAACC